GGCGCATAAAACTTTAGTGCGCATGTGTATTTGGACCATAGAAGTGGTCTGGTCAACTATGGGATTATTTGGTGTATTGCAGACCATGAGAAGATGGTGCACTCGCTGCTCTGGACCTTAGATCTATTGTAGTTAATAGAAAATAATCTAGTGTGAGCGTGTTCATTTGCGCACTCATTTATGACCATTGGATGCGGCATAAAGGAAGTGATGGATTCAGTGTGGTGAGCTCACGGTAGCTGAAAGAGCCTAGCCAATACCAGCACACAAGGAGGCTTGAATCCAGCGCGTGCAAGTGCATAGTAAGCACGTGGGCGCGCGTGGGTAACTATGTTGGCCTAATTCGACACTAGAAATTAAAACGGTCATAACTTAGTCATTTTAAATCGAAATTGGGTCATTCTTGAGCTCAAATTCAAGGATTTTTCGTCTTCTTTCCAATGGTACCAATTTCATTATCAGATTCCCATCCTACTAGGAGATATTTATGTTTTAGTGAGAAAGTGTCGGAAAACTATTTAAACTAATATGGAGTATTTAAAGGAAACTATTTCTGACATATTTAGTTGCACTAATTTGTGTAAATATAATAAATTAATAATTTGTTATGGAAGGAAGTGTATATATATATATATATATATATATATATATATATATATATATAAAATTATTTATATATGTGTATATATAGTTTAATTTGTCTATGTATATGTGTATATATAGTTTAATTTGTCTATGAGTTGTATGGAAGGATGAATATATATATATATATATATATATATATGTATGTATGTATATTGATCAAGGATTATTAAAGAAGGTGTTAAACACACATATACATTAAATAACATATGTGTAGGTATATATATATATAAATCATTTAAGATAATTAATATTATCATTCTTATTTGGCATATCTTAATAGGCTGGTTGTTAAATTAATGATATGCGTATAATATGCATGTGATGGCTATGTATGATTTAGCGTATTGTTAATTTTAAAGTTAATTAATGGTCAAAGTGTGGGCATGGATGAATTGTCAAATGATTAAATATATTACCTAAATATTTGTATGAATAGAATACATATATGGAAAGTATGGATGAATTGTTAATTAAATGTATGAATAAATATACCTGTGGAGGCATGGTTGAATTGCCAATGTATAAATATACATACATGGAGGCATGGTTGAATTGCCAATGTATAAATAAATATACTTATGGAGGCATGGTTGAATTGCCAATAGATAAATAAAAATATTTACAATGGCATGGTTGATTTGCCAAAGCATAATTACGTTGTTATGTGTTAGATGATTAAAATATCATCTATGGTTGTTGTATGTATGGATTGGATTAGGGTTAGATATTCTTAAATGAGAATAGTTTAGTACTTACTGGTTAGTGTATTATTTTACATTAATAAAATAATATTGGGGAAGACGTGGATGATTTGTCAAAACTTGGATTTTGGATATGTGATTTAAACAATTAAAATCATTATCGGGTTGGGATTAAATAGAGTATTTCTTTTATTATAATTTGTTGTTTAAATGATTAAACAACTGACTAGGATGGGATTAAGGTCAAAGGAGTTTTTATAAAATGAAATGGTAGATTGGTCTAGGTATGAATATTATTTTAATAATTATTTAATAGGTATGGAAATTTAATAAACCTATTAATGGATGTGATTAATATAGTATATAAAATTATATATAGACATGTATATCGTGCTTTATTAAAGTTAAAACTTTATTAGGTTTGGTTTTGATCAGAGATGATCTGCTTATTGGTTTTCAGAGGCCTGGTAGAGTGAACTTGCTCGTAGGGTTTAACCCACGATTTATTTTTCAGGTTATTAGAGGTTCCAGTCTCGAGGTTGAGGATCCGCAGCTGGGAGACTGTCATTCGTCTATTCATCTTGTGTACTTTTAAATAGTATTGGATTATTGGATAATGTTTTAAGGGGTCCTTGAGTTATGGGATTTCCGAATTGTAATTGTTGGAGAATCATTAAGTAATATTTATTTATTAGTTTTCTTCAGCGGTTTATTTATTCTTTATTATTCTTCTTTGTATTCTGTGCTTGTTAAATACTTAAATTGTTTTGATATCCCTTGATTTTGTGCGCGGACTTGATCAATCCGTGTTCCAAAATTAGGGGGTATCACAGACTCCAAGCCTCCAGATTCTTGTTCTCCTTATCAAAAGAACCTCACACTAGCATGATAGAGTTGCTGATCAGAGCGCAAAAACACATCAACGCTGAAGACACCATGAGTGCACGGAAGGAAGGAGAGGACAAGAAGAGGCCAACCCCTCTCGCCAGGGATGAAAATAATACCAAATATAAGAAATCGTTCTTCAGCCAGAGCGATAGCACATATCATGAGAATGACTCAAATGAGTATACCGACTAGAAATTGTCTCACGGCTGGAATTAGCTCCCTCACGTGTTACCTTGTTTTTAATAAGCCTTGAGGTAATGATGGTCTTTAATAAAAAAATTTTCAGTTGCCTTGACTCTTGGTTAATTATCTTTATATGTGCAGTATCCCCGTACTATAAGGGATAGTAAATGAGTGTCCTGTATTACAAGGACCCGGGTTAAGTGAATTCCGTAATCCGTATCCCCGTACTATAAGGGGTAGTAAATGATTGTCCTGTATTATAAGGACCCAGGCTGAGTGAATCCCGTAATCCGTATCCCCGTACTATAAGGGATAGTAAATGAGTGTTTTATATTACAATGACTCAAGCTAAATGAATCCCGTAATCCATATCCCCGTAATATAAGGGATAATAAATGAGTGTCTTGTACTAAAATGATCTAGGCTGAATGAATCCCATAATTAATATCCCCTTACAATAAGGGATAGTAAATAAAAATCCTTTACTAAAGGGGTGAGCTGAGTAAAACTCGTAAAGTTCAATTCCTTTATTAAAGGAGTGACCATCTGAGTAAAACTAGTACCCAGGGGCAGAGTACCCAAGGGTGGGGCAGAGCACCCCAGGGGAAGATTACCCAAGGGTACTAAAAATACCCAGGGGCAGAGTACCCAAGGGTACTAAGAATAGTACCCAGGGCAAAGTACCTAAGGGTACCAAAAATAGAACCCAAGGGAACAGTGCCCAAAGGAAGCGTACCAAAAAAAAAAAAAAAAAAAGTTACTGTTCATATGAATAGTACCCGCGGGTACTGTTCCCAGGGCAGGGAAAAAATATATTATTCTACTGTTCATATGAGCAGTACCTGCGGGTACTGTTCCGAGGGCAAAAAAAAAAAAAAAAAAAAATCTTACATTCCCAAAGCTAGACGAGCAAGCTTGGGAATGAGGGGCAACTGATAGGGAAAAATAAACCTATCTTGACTTAACGATAGAGGCAACCAAGTGTTGACCAACTGCCAGATCTTTTCGGTAATATTTTATTATTAGAGTAACGATTTCCATGGATAATAATGATGACAAATCTTATGCAGGATAAGATTTCCATTGGGATGATGACAAATCTTATCAAGGATAAGATTTTCATGTGATAAGTCCTATGGGATGAGGATAATGAAATTCCCTTATCAAGAATAAGGGAAACGACGATAAATAGGACGACGACTCGGGAATAAGGTACGACGGAAAAACTATTATTAAATTCCTACCTTCTTTTTAGACCTTCGGTGACTAACTTGACCGTTGGAGAGCCCTTGGCAGGCACCACACCGGTGCCGTCAAGGTTCATTGATCTTCTCCTTTCTTCCTAGTAGGAAAACGGTGTCGTATCGAACCGCGTGAATTTCACTCTCAACATATATAGAGAGAGCTAATTGTAAGACATATGTATTGTTAGTTTTGGTGTAATTCGATTTGGGGGTACTATAATAACAATTAAAAATAATTAAACATAAATTTAATTGATTACAATTAAAAATAAATTACAGATGACTTAGAATTAAAACAAGTTTAATAAGAGCTCCAAATTAATATTTACAAGTGCAAATCCAAATTAGAGTAGGAAATGAATTATGTGGGTGTGTTATGAACCCATGATGAGCTTAAAAAAAATGGGTATTCTAAAATTAATTATGTATATGTGTATACATATATTATATATAGTATAAACTTATTCTGGCTTTCTATATATATATATAAATATATAAATATATATATATATATATATATATATTTATATATATATATATATATATATATATATGACACATATATATATGTATATATAGTTTTAGAGATATTTTAGTCTTTTTATCTGTTTCTTTAGGTTAAAGAGTTGTTTTGACAAAGTTAAAGGGTATTTAAGTCATTTTATATTGTGTCATAATTGTGTAAAAAACGGTTGGGGTGTGAGTAAAAAACGGAGCAAAAGTTTGTAATGTGAGTAATAGTTATTTTCGAAAGATATTTGAGAGTGATATTTGGCCAAACTTGAGGGGGTGTCAGTGAAATTAATCCAAAAGAAAAAGAGGATAGAAAAGAAGTTGGAATTATTAAGAATAAATGATGCTAATAACTCATATTAATTATTTAATAGAGTTAAAGTCTCATAATTTTGAAAAAAATGAAGATATGAAAAAATATTATTTATCCTCATAGAGGTACCACATTTAGATACATAGGTATCACTTTTGGTGCATGTACTACTTTTTTGTGCAGCACAAAAAGTGATACCTGCATACACAAAAAGTGATACATATGTGAATAAAAGTGGTACCTGATGCACAAAAAGTGGTACCTATGTGAATAAAAGTAGTACCTCTATGTCCAAAACAAAAGTGATACCTGATGCACAAAAAGTGGTATATATGTATAAAAAAAGTGATAACTATGCGCCTAAAAGCGGTACTTCTCGGAGTGAACAGTGTTTTTCCATATTTACGTTAGTATTTTGGTCAACTCTGTTTTTTCAAAGCTACGAGACTTTGACTCCGTCAAACCGTAAATATGTGCCATTAATTTATATGTAATAATCCCAAAGAAGTTTACCTTAGAGAGCCAGTGCAAACTATAGGAGGAATGGATGAAGTGCAAGCTATTGTTTGGAAACAGTCTTCCATAAAAGGTGCCGGGATGACCAGCTACGTAAATACATGGACCCCCATCATCTCCCCCTTCCCTGAGCTCCCTAATAAAATCCGCTAACGCCTTGAAGATTGCGTTGAAGTCGTTAGCCGGAAGATCATTTAGGTACACCCGATACTCTGGTGCCGGTTGCAGAAGTTTTTGACTTGTGGCTTCGATAGCTTCCACCATTTCTCGTATGATAGATAGTGTGTTCAGTCCGGAGGAACAACCCAAGTTAGCTATGCTCGAGTCATTTAGAGCTGTTGTGAGATAGACTTCTTGAATGGTCTGTAAGGTTATGTGCTTCACCATATCAAAAGTTGGAGTCATGCCTTGTAATTGCAATGTATGAACCAATTTATATGAGTGTGTGTATATGAGATGTTAAAAGGATTAGTTAGTATGTTCAGTTCAATTTTTACAAGAACTCAGGGAAAAAGAAAAAAAATCTGTCAACAGATTTTTGTATAATTTTTTAATTTTAATTTATTAAAAAAAAAAATGTTTTACAAGAACTGAACCAAACAAGGCCTAAATGTTTTAGAATATCTGTTAAGAGTTTGAGTTGATCATTGAGAGAGAGAGGGACCTGAAGTGAAGAGTTTCTGGCATAGCTAGTTTCTCCAACTCCTACAGTCATGTGGAATACTTTGTCCACGTCCATGATAGTGGGTATTTGAGTACTTCTCTCGAATCTTTGAAGTGGATTGAGTTTGAGCTCCCTTTGGATCTCTTTTTAAAGACTTAGGGTGGTTGTGGGGGAAAAAATCTCCTTCTCCAATAAGACACGATGCGTCAGTAAGCAAGGGTCCCACCCAATACAGCAGTTTTAGGTTTAAGTAAACCACGTCCCTTCCAAGGCCAAAAACGAGACTCAAAGTTTAGCAAGAGATTACATTATCCTAGCTGAAAGCATGAACCCGTGCAAAAAGGAAGCCTAGCTCGGCACGATCATCAAGCCCGTAGATAGCAAGCCTAGGTCCAACGGCATTCCACAAATCATGGACGAAATTCATGTGATCGCGAGGAATCAATTATCTAAATATGGTAAAGTTGTATATGGGAGCAAATTCATAAGGAATGAACTTGAGTACAAGTAAGGCCGAGTCTAACCCTAATTTGAGTGCATTTGTATAAATGGGGGCAAGTCCCCCAATAAAGGATATACCTAATATTTGCCCCAGTTCTTTTTTCTTGAATCTGTCTTTTTATTTGAGTATGTGACTTTTTTTCTTTAAGTTTTCAAAATTGACGAATTTTTGTACTGGTGAATCTAACATAATATATATATATATATAGTTACTATTCTCACACACACGTTTCCATCAAGGCTTGAATTCCTGACTTTTTTTAAAAAGTAAGAGTCTGGTACCACTTGGCCACTGACATATTAGTAATCTAACATAATTGTCTAGGGAATTTGATCACTTCAAGAGAAGATTGAATTGGGGTTGTAAAGCATGACTTGATCCACCTGTTACTTTAATTACAAAATTTAAACAATACTTACCAATAAGTTAGTGGTATCAAGTCCTTACTTTTTTTAAAAATGTCAAGGGTTCAAACCTCTATGAAGGCATGTATGTGTGAGTACCAATTAGAGAAAAAAAAAAAAAAAAATACTTATATGAAAATTCTAGCTAATATATAACATACATATTTACACCTATATGTATCCTTGTCATGATTCATGACAGAATTTAAAAACTTGTCCCACAAACTTTTGCAGTGGAGCAATTTTATTTTTCCGGAGTCTTCATTGATGGACAAACACCTAACTTGCTAATGCCTCACTCCCCGGACATTGAAAAATGGGTGAGATCATTGATGCCTGTATTGTCGTGCCACCGTTTCTTTTTTTCTTTTCTTTTTTTTTTTTTTTTTTTTTTGCATGAAACTTTCCTACGCATATCCACTTTGCTCCTTTGAAAACTCGAACCTTCCACCACTCACTTTAGAAAGTAGAAAATATACCATTAGACTACAAGGCCCTTAATATAGATAAATGAAAGATGTATAACAAATATAGAGATGTGAATGTGGTTTGTGGATTTGAGTCCCCAAATAGGCAAAGTAAGTGTGCGAGTGGAGTGTGTTTTTCTTTCCAATTAAAAAAAAAAAATTTATGCTCTTTTTTATTTCCCTCTAAGTTTATTTTCTTTCTTTTATTTTTATTTTTTATTGGGTAAAAAAAAATTGTTATTTACAAAATGTGTAAATACCCCTACATTTTCCAAATTGAAGAAATAAGGACATTTTGTCAATTTGAAGACCAAAATACCTAAAATGTCTTTAAGAAAAAAATAAAAATAAAAACTCTGATTTAGAATGAGAGAGAGGATAAGGAGATAATTAGGGGAATTTTGGATTTTTTATATTTAAAAATTGGTCAAAATTCAGATATTAGAATCAATTTTTACATATTTTCAAATGTTAGAAAATACTTTTTGCACATTTTTATAGATGAAATTGTTTTGAACTTTACCCTTTTTAATTTTTATTTTATACTTTTATCTAACTAAGCTCGTCAAAGGGCTGTTATCAAATTCTTTAGGACAAATTTCTTTGTTTGAGCAATTCTTTTTCACTCCAGGCCAAGTTAGGGTGATGGGATTATAATATTTCTAAAATTCATAGTTAATTAGCTGTATTAGGCAAGAATTCCTTTTCCACTCATAATTTCGGAACAAAAATATTTTCTTTATAATAATACTTTTTGCATATATTCACATAGCACGGTTTAATTCCTTGCCAAAATCTCTCTCTGTTTGACTATTATTATTATTATTATTATTATTATTATTTTGTCTTTTGTCTCGTTTAGTTTTTAGAATAAATATTCTTAGATGAAGTATGTACTACACGACAAGTACAACTGAATGGATTGACTTGAAATTGTTTGAGTTGCACTACATAATCAACGGAATTTGATTCCAGTTGTTGTGGCGGAAACGCAAAATAACAACGCACTGTTCAAGGAATAAACAAGCAATCACGAAGAATAAAAAAACATCACACACAAGAACACAAGATATAAATGGTTCACCCAAATCTTAGGGCTATGTCCATGGAGCACACCGAACAAAATCACTATGAAAAAGATGAAGAATTATAAGGAGAATTCTCTCTCAATCTCTCTCAATTGCTCTTTCTTATATTGGCACAAATTTTTCTCTAACTTTCTCACCTTATTTATAGAGTCTCCAAACTTGACCTACAAGAATTTGTCTTTTGTAGAATCCAAAACTAATAAGGAAATTAAATCAAATCAGGAAACTGAATTTTCCTTAAACCAATACGGAAGTCAAATCAGATTAGGAAACTGAATTTTCCCTAACAGATTAGGAAACTGAAATTTCCCTAAAATTCAGTACTCTTGAAGTTTCCATATAATTAAATCTTTCTAAAAATCTTCCACTTAATCAGACTCTATAAAACCACAACAATCTCTTACTGGGAGTCTAGAGTACTTGTAAACCCATTCCATCTTCTTCTCATGCATGTCCCATACATGTCGGTGCGCTTCTTTCTATCTTCAAGCTAGAAGACCAACTGAAGTTGCGCACAATTTCAGTTTCTCCATGGTTACTGTCTTGGTCAACATGTCAGCCGAATTCTTGGTGCCAAGTATTTTCTCAAGTGTCAACACCCCATCTTCTAACAAAGATTTGATAAAGTGATACCGAAGTCCTATATGCTTGGTCTTTGAATGAAATGCTGAATTCTTTGCCAGATGTATCGCACTCTGACTATCACTGTGCAAAACATTCTTCACCTATTCGAACCCCAACTCTGTCAACAAACCTTGTAACCAAATCATCTCTTTACTAGCCTCTGTCATCGCCACATACTTTACCTCTGTAGTAGATAACGCTGCAATCCTCTGTATTTGCGAAACCCAACTAACTGCAGTTGTACCCACCATGAACACATACCTGGTAGTACTTCTTTTGTGGTCCACCTCGCCAGCAAAGTCTGAATCTACATAGCCATGTAGCTTCACTTCGCCCCTTTTGAAACATAGGCATCTGTTTGTGGTACCCCATAGATATCTCAATATCTTTACTACTTTCTAGTGTAGCTTGTCTGGATCCTTCATGAACCTGCTTACTGCTCCCACTGCATATGCAATGTCTGGTCTTGTGCACACCATGACATACATCAAACTTCCAATGGCTGAGGCATATGGAATTTTAGCCATAAAGTTTTTCTCATCTTCTGTCTTCGGACACTGATCTTGAGATAATCGGAAGTGATTAGCTAAGGGAGTACTCACCACCTTAGCATTATTCATGTTAAACCTCTTCAGAACCCATTCAACGTACTCAGCCTGAGACAACTGCAAAATATCTTTATGTTTGTCTCTGCTAATTCTCATCCCAAGAAGCTGCTTCGCTGTACCAAGATCCTTCATCTCGAATTCACTAGACAGCTGCTTCTTCAATTTGCTAATTTCTTCAAAATCAGAACCTGCCACTAACATGTCATCAACATAAAGTAGAAGGATAATGAAACTTGACTTAAACCTCTTGAAGTAGCAGCAATGGTCAGCGTTGCACTTGTTGTAGCCATGTCACTTTATAAAACCATCAAACTTCTTGTACCACTGCCTCGGGGCTTACTTCAAACCATATAAGCTTTTCTTTAACTTGCACATTAGTTTCTCTTTCCCTTTGATTGAGAAACCCTCTGGTTGTTGCATGTAAATCTCCTCCTCAAGGTCACCATGGAGGAAAACAGTTTTGACATCTAATTGCTCGAGGTGCAACCCTTTTGCTGCAACAATGCTAAGAACTGAGCGAATGATACTCAGTTTCATAACCGGGGAAAAAATGTCTGTGTAGTCAATGCCTTGCTTTTGTTGAAAGTCTTTGACCACCATTCTCGCATTGTATCTCTTGGAATCATCATGTTCCTTTTTCACCCTGTACACCCATTTGTTGTGAAGAGCTTTCTTCCCCATGGGTAACTTGGATAGTTCCCTTGTTTTGTTAGAGATAAGGGACTTCATCTCATCTTCCATTGCAAGCTCTCACTTGCTAGCATCTTCAACTTGACATGCTTCATCATAGCATTCAGGCTCACCATCATTTGTGAGTAACATATAATCCAAATATTTCCTATTCGGTACATGAGGTCGCGTAGACCTTTTGGGTGTAGGCATAGGAGTTGGAATCTGCGGTGAACTATACTCTGTGAGTTCTGGCCAAGAACCCTCATCTGTCTGTTCCGCATCAATACTCTCTGGATCATCATCTAACTCAACAAACTCAGGCTTACTCTGTACAGGACTAGTTAACTGTGCTGCATCTCTATCCTTGTACATCACCTTCTCGTTGAAAATCGCATCTCTACTTCTGATGATTTTCTTGTTCTGATTATCCCAGAGTTGATAACCAAACTCATCTTCACCATACCCAACGAAGATGCATTTTAGTGACTTGGGGTTGAACTTTCCCCTAGCATGGTCACTACTTTGCACATATGCAATACAACCAAAAACTTTCAACCATGAAAGACTTACCTCTTTGCCACTCCATACCTCTTCTGGTATTCGATGTTCCAAAGGCACCGATGATCCACGATTTATTAGGTAGGATTTTGTATTGACCGCTTCTGCCCAAAACTGTTTGGGTAGACCCGAATGTATGCGCATACTTCTGG